ATTCACAAGGGGTGAGGGCTTAGTTGTATCAACCGATGACAGCGCCTTGGTCAACTCTAACAAGCACGTCTATATGTTGACTAGTCAAAAAATGAATTTTTTTTGCTATATTTCTCAACTCCCCATCGGCAGCATGAAATGAAATTAATACTGGAAAAATTAATGGATTTTTATTTTTTAAGTTTATAACAAAGTCAAAAACTCGATATGCAGACTGGTTCATTTGTGGTATAATAACTCCCGCCGTGTCGTCTGCAAGTTCATATGGGGACATGAATGTATAAATAATAGGAATATCTTCATCATTTGCTCACACAACAAAACAATTATGGAATCATCCTCTCTTATTCCCTTTTCTTTAATATTCTGCTCTATTCTCCTCTCCTTTGCATCAAATGGAATCGAAGCTCGAAGGCTCCAATACATCTCACATTTGATTAGTGAAGATCTTTTTGATTCTATATTTCTTCACAAGGATGATAATGCATGCCCTGCAAGAAATTTCTACACTTACGACTCCTTTATTCAAGCTACGGAAGTTTTTCCACTATTTGGTAACACAGGGAATTTAGATACGCGCAAGCGTGAAATTGCAGCTTTTCTTGCTCAGATATCCCACGAGACCACTGGCGGATGGGCTACTGCACCCGATGGACCATACGCTTGGGGTTTGTGCTTCAAAGAGGAAATGAATCCTCCAAGCATCTACTGTGACTCTACCAACACACAATGGCCTTGCTACCCTGGAAAATCTTACAAAGGAAGAGGACCCATTCAACTGTCCTGGTATGTAATATTACACTTCCCCAAACTTTTTTTTCCTCGTGGCTAAGGTAAGCTTTAACCGAATAGATTGTTAATATTGTTGTTAACAGGAATTACAATTATGGACCAGCCGGCAAGGCTTTGGGATTTGATGGGCTAAGGAACCCAGAAATAGTGGCCAACAACTCTTTGATTGCATTCGAAACTGCTATTCGGTTCTGGATGACCGAGCAGAAGCCAAAGCCCTCTTGCCACGATGTCTTGGTTGGTAAATATGTCCCCACGGAAGCCGATTTGGCAGGTAATCGGACGGCTGGATATGGTTTGGTGACCAACATAATCAACGGTAGGCTTGAGTGTGGAAGACCCAACGATACACGTGTAAATGATCGAATTGGATTCTTTAAGAGATATGCTCAGTTGTTTAACGTTGATACCGGACCAAACCTAGATTGTGATAATCAAAAGCCGTTTTAACCTAGTTTTATTTTCCTTTTCGAGGATAATAAAGGACGGAGCTCGTTGTTGTCGTTGTTATTGTCATGCAATTGTAATTTCCATAATGTTTTTCCGACCAAATTGCAAAGGCTTTCTCAGTGAAATTCTCTATTTTAGCACTAATTCCTATTGAGATTTGATTATTAGAATATACAAAACTATATATATATATATATAAATAATATAGATATATATATTCAACTGATTGATTTAATGATCAAGATAATCTTAAAGAAGATAATAAAATTGAGATTCGAATCTCAATTTTTTTCCTCCTCTTAATGTAGGATTCTGTTCCCTTAAATGATCAAAAAATATATATATAAATAATATATATAAATATAAATATATATGGGTGTGGAAAACTGTTTAAATAAAGAAAATCTGTAATATTGTTGTATATTATTAATTATATTTCTAAATGGTTATTCGACAAATTTTTTGTTTATAGTTTTCTAAACAAAAAGTCAATGCACAAGGTGGGAATGAATTATATGAAATAAACTTTTGATTGCAGGAGTTGAAGGATTATTTATTATATTAATTCATCCTCTAACCAAGCGGCTTCATATAGTTATTTGGACAGAAGATGATTACATGCGTGGGTTGTGGACTATGAATCTTATAAAAAATGCTGCCCTAGATAGCAATTAGCAAGTATTACAAGACATAGATACTTAACCCTACAATAGTATTAATAATTCATAATTGATCACAGATGAAAGAGGGACATACAGACAGAAATTAATTAGGAAGAACAAATGTATAATATTGTGCAAAAAAACATCAAGTAATTGTGGGCCGAAGATCAAAGGTAAAAATTAAAGTGGACAGTGACAAATTAAACTTAATCCTCTTTTTCTCAAAACTCCAATGGGAGGCAGGGCCAAGGCAAAGACGAAGTCAGTGCACCCCGCATCTCGATCCCACCTTGCATTTAGCTTTACAGCATTCGGATCTCATATATATATATATATATATATATATATATATATATGTCACGAGTCAAGACTTAAGCTCTGAACTACGTGAAATGGCTTTGAGATCCAAGCATCTACTCATCCGACGTCTCAAATCAACCTAATCGTTACGGTTCACACCTTTGTGAGGTATTGTTTGCTCTGATCTCTTGATCTCACGGTTTTATCCTACAAAAGACGTCTCACAAGGAAGAGGTGGTGTGAACCCTTTTATATCCCAATGACCCTCCTATTATGTTCGATGTGAGATTCAAGACTCTTCCTTAGGTCCGTGACATTCTCTCCCACCTAACCTCGTAACGCCTTCGTCACGGAGGCTGACCACCTTGCCTTCCTCCCTCGAGGAGCTTGGCGTGGATTGAACAGTATAGGGCTGGCTCCGTGACATTCTCTCCCACCCAACCTCGTAACGCTTTCGTCACAGAGGCTGACCACCTTACCTACCTCCCTCGAGGATCTTGGCGTGGATTAAACAGTATAGGGCTGGCTCTTATACTACTTATCATGGGTCGAGACTTAAACTCTAAACCCGCACAACTCTGGGACCCGGGCATTTACCTTTCTGGCGTCCCAGATCAGCTTGACCACCACAATTCATACTCTTGTGAGGTATTGTCTGCTCTGATCCCCTGACCTCATGGTTTTATCTTACAAAAGGAGCCTCATAAGGAAGAGATGGTGTGAACCCTTTTGTACCTCAGTGACTCTCCTATTATGTTCGATGTGGGATTCATGACTCCTCCTTAAGTCCATGACATTCTCCTCCACCCATAGGTCCGTAACATTCTCCTCCACCCAACCTCGTGAGAGGCTGGTCACCCTGCCTACCTCCCTCGAGACACTTGATGTGGGTCGAATGGTTTAGGGTTGGCTCTGATATCATTTGTCACAGGTCGAAACTTAAGCTCCGAACCCACGCGACTCTGAGACCCGAGCATCCACTCATCCAGCGTCTCAGATCAGCCTAACCGTGACGGTTCATACTCTTGTAAGGTATTGTCCGCTCTGACCACTTGGCCTCACAATTTTGTCCTACAAAAGGCACCTCACAAGTAAGATATGGTGTGAATCTTTTTATACCTCAGTGACCCTCCTATTATGTTCGATGTGAGATTTAAGACTCTCTCTTAAGTCCGTGACATTCTTCCACACCTAATCTCGTGACGCTTTCGTCACGGAGGCTGGCTACCCTGCCTACCTCCCTCGAGGCGCTTGGCATGGATCGAACAGCATAAGGCTGGCTCTAATACCACTTGTCATGAGTCGAGACTTAAACTTCGAACTCGCGTGGCTCTCAGGACCCGGGCATCCATTCATCTTGCGTCCCAGATCAGCCTAACCGCCACGGTTCACACCCTTATGAAGTATTGTCCGCTCTTGCCCCATTGACCTTACGATTTTGTTTTACAAAAGGTGTCTCACAAGAAAAAGATGATGTGAACCATTTTATATCCTGATGACCTTCTTATTATGTTCGATGTGAGATTCATGACTCTTCCTTATATCCGTGACATATACTCGTGGCTAAAGAAAAAAATATATATCGATTGGTGATCGGATCGAAAATGGATGAGAAGCGCAGCTATAATTCTGAAGGCAGGAGAGGCATTAAGTTCTTTTACGTTTACAGGAAAGCGAAGGTTCAGGTGGAATAGCAGCCGCCAAATGCTGCGTAGTTTGGATGATTAATGAAACCAAACATTTTATGACGTAAACAAGAAATCAAGAAGAAAATATATTCGATATATATATATATATTAATTAGGTTGTGCTCACCAGCTCATGTTTTCATCAAGCAAAAGAATCGTTTGAAAATACACTAGCCAGTAACATTATATTAAATACATGACGCAATTCCACCTATCAATTCAATCGGTTTTGGGCATCTATTCCTCCGTGTTTCTTATGTCTCTGATCCATAGAAATTAGGCTTCCTTTTTGCCTTGGGCCGTTTTATGTGTTTGCCAAAGCTTTTTATTTTTATTTTTTAAGTTGATTCTAACCGCTAAAACTAAAAGAGTCCTGTATTTTATAAATAAACCATGCCGTTATCGGCTTAAGTTGCTAACTCTATTTATTATATGATGTTTTAGTTTTTCGTAAAAATTTAACTTTTCAATAATTAAAATTTCGTTTGGTTGATTTTTTTTTATTTTTAATAAAAAATGAAAAGTAAAAAAATTAAAATGAATTAAAATAAAAGATAAACCAAAATATCTATCAAATGGCATTGTCCAATTCAACTCAAATTTTTTATATATTCAATTTGAGATACATTTGGTTCGATTTGATTATCAATTACAAGTTCAAAAAATTATTTGAATGGAAGAAAATTGTATTTTTATAATAATTTTATTTTTCATAAAATAAAATAATTTTATTTTCTAAATTTAAGTAATAAACAAAAAATAATATTAAAAATTTTAAAATTTTAAAATTTTTTAATTTTAAAAATTGAAGAGCCAAATTAATGGAATTCGTTTCTACTTAAGTTCAAGTTCTATGAACCAAAATATCCTTAAGTAGCATAAAAGAGGTTTAGGGCGTGGAGACGAATATTGGATCCGGTGCGTTGTTCGAAAAGCATATTAATCTTCTCTTTCAACCGGTATCGAACTCATCGGCAAATTGACGTATGCATGGTGATGTGAATGGATGAAGATTGAAAAGAATAACGGAGCAACAAAAAAGAACTGAAGTCGATAAGCGTCGAAGAATCCAATTGATAACGAAAGTTATAAAATTAATTATGTTCTCTTCCAATTACCTTTTTGTACTTTGCAGTTTGAGATAAGGAATTTGGTTCCTTTCATTTCTGTCTCTTAGAAGGAGAAGGCAATCCAATTATTTTTTGAAGGAAATCCTTCTTAAGTGGTACTACATAATTTTTTGACAACTGAAATGAGTACGTAGTAATACAATTAACGACAATATCTAAATTCGATGCCACAATGTTCATTTCGATGATACGACGATGGCAGCATGGATGCTTCCTGGCACATATCCTGCTATCGTCAGGACTACATTTGCCCAGAATTTGGCCTGTAATTAACTCAAAAACAGAAACAGACAGTCAGCTCTTAATTAATTACTACTCATTTCTCTCGACTTATAATTACAGCTTCCGTAAAATTATATATGTTACCATCTTCTTCTGTGACTTCAACAATTTGGTACGTAGGTTGAACGAATTCATTCCCAATTTCTCTATTGTTATTAGATAGATTTTAAAATCTTGTAAAAATTTAAATTGATAAGTAAAAAATCAATTCAATTTGGAAGAAATATGCTAGTAAGATAGAAGAAAAGGAGAGACTGACCGTGCAGCCTTCCTTTTTATATATCCCAGCTGGAGGCAGAAAGATGGCCAGGGTCATGTCAACACAGTCTTCTTCCTTCTTCTCTTCCTCGCTTGAATCTTTACAGCTAAAGCATCCGCACCTGATGCAGATACACATGTTGGTATATGGTTGAAGATAGATCAAAGAGCTACCTTGTTGTGAAGATGGAGTCTACTACTACTTACTTTTATAGAATCCAAGATATGCTGTGAAACAGTGACAATATTTCAGCCAAAATAAAAGAGAATCAAACTAGGGAATTGGATGAGTTAATAGTGACATTGGCAAGCTGTTTTCACGTTGCTGATTTCATATATTAATTACTACTATAGATGAAAGAATTTTTTCCTTGACGTGTTAAGGTCAATCTATATATTTAATCATCTTCTGCTTTAATTTTATGAGATGCTCGATTCTGTACTTTAGGCTTGTGGGAATCGATCAAGTTGATGGAATCTGAATGGTAGAATGTTCCCCAATTATGGGATTGCATGCCTTGCACAAAATTAAGAGCACTTGAAAATGGATAATATTACAGAATTGTTCCTCTAGTTCTTCTAGAGACATTGGTAAAAGGAAAAAAGATTGCGGTTCCAAAACAAATTAAAAATTATTCAGGGCAACGTTACAAAGAATACTTTTGCTTTCCATCTCCACTTTAGATGGAAATTTAACGGTGATTTATCAAAAGGGCTTGTGAAAGTGTAGAGAATGGAATTTGATCCTATCTCCCTTCTCCAAAATTTATTGAAATTTTTTTTAATTTTAGATAATAAGATATTCAATTTATTGGTTTCATTAAACAAAATGCACATTTGGAGTGATTGTGTTGGTCAAAGGTAATCTTAAGTTTTGGCCATACAAATCTCTTACATTTTCAATCTTTTATTATATTGAATTTGATTATTAAGCTGTACGAACTACGAATGCTACAATGTTGTTTTAAAAGAAAGCCTAGGCTGAGACACATTTAGTTGTGTTGTCAAGAAATCAAAAAGGCCATTTGATTTTCATGTCTCAAATGGTCAAACAGCTATTCCTCTCAATTGACAACATAATCAGACTTGTTACATGTGGAAGACGGGATGAGCAGTAACCAACCAGACAAGACAATGGTTCAACTGGTTAATTAATTTGTTGGGCCCATCTAATCTGAACCTCAAAAAACTTTGATCCCTATAGGTCCGTATGTGCAGCCAGTAGCCCAATAGTCTTGACCTTGACTAGGCAGTTATTCCTTCTAAATAGGCTCGATCATGGGCTGTCCTGACTCCTCCTGAGCAATTAATTCCAGGGAAAATCACAAGATCTATCTAGTCACATTTGATTGAACACATTTTTTAAAGTTATTTTGAATTTTTTTGGTTGGCTTTGTACCCTGTGGTTGTAGAGCCTGGGATGATATTTTTCTGGTTCTTGTCTACCAAGATATAGGAAAATTTTCAGTTTAATTTTAACCATCTTAATATTGAATCCAAAACCATTCTCTTGAGAGTACAACTCCTTAATCTGAATTACAATCTCCTCTCTTCGGACGTTCCATTTCATGAATAGTAGTGCATCTTAGGTACAAAAACATGAAACTATCTCATTCAGAGGATTATCCATTAAATTCCCCTATTAAGAGGCCACAGATTGAAACTCTTCAGCAGGTTTTCCGTTCACTATAAATTGAATTTATTGGAGTGCTTAAGGAAAAAAGCATCACAATCATCCAAAAAAAAAATTGACAGCCCAGTGACAAAAGTGATGCTTGTTACTCTATCATCTTAGTATGCAAATTTACATTCAAAGTCCTAAAACATATTCCACCCTAAATTTTCTGCCTACCTATTGATTTTCACTCCACAAAAAACAACAAGAGTTTAAAAAAGAAAAAAGAATCAGAGAGATTTTGTATCAAAATTCAGCACTTGGTGATCTTCAATCTCCTCACAGCTGACAAGAACATCCTACAGTACATGCATGAGAAGAACAGATTCAGCTCTGGTGTACTATAAGGGATCATCATCATATATATATATAGAAATAACTGAATTTGACAAATGGGAATGTTGTTTTTAATGGAGAAATCTGGTTACTTACTCCCAAGGAACATCACCGACCATCATCCAGTCCCCTTCCTTGTCTTCATATGTTAGCACATGATATTTCTCATAATGATCTCCATCCACCTCAGCCTCAGCCCCTGCATATTTATATATCAAAAACAAAACTCTTGATTTGTCAAAATTTTGGTTCAGAAAGATCAGATTCAATAAAGGAAATTAAACAGCAAAGATGAAACTTACAGATAATGTTTGTGTTGAACATGTGCTGGAGAGTCCTTATTAGGTCATAGTAACTCTCGTGAGCCAACAGGTCCAGTTTTCTGCCAATAGGAATCCCATCCATGTAAACCTTAACAAAGAAAGTTGCACTGTCACACTCATTTTCTTCTTCTGCAAGCGCCTGCCTTAGCGGCGGCTTGATTGGTGGCCAATCCGATGGTTGCTCCCTGATATATACATGCAATTTACTATTAACATGAATCATAAAAGGAAAAAAGGAAATTAAAGAAAGGATGGTGACTAAATAAACACCTTCCATAAGGAGGAGAGGTTGAAATGCTAAGACCAAGCTGAAGATCAGTGCTAAGGTCCCTCTGCGAAGAAGCAGAAGCACCAGTGCTTGAGAAAGCAAAGTGGTTGCTGCTCTCGATAGACGATGAAGAAGAACTGGTTGCCCTGCCCATTTTCAGAGATGTGATGAAGACTGAAGATTGAAGACAAATGAGCCGCCAACTTGGGTTTAAATAACCAGAAACATTAATAGGACAAAATTTTGTTGGGAGAAGCAAAGGAGGCAATTCTTTCATATGACTGGCTATGGTTGGGATGATATGTTGTTAGGGCAGCCGACATGTACACGTGTCGTCTACCAACCCAACTTGTATTAATAATGACTTTAACATTTTTTTGGACTTTGATTCAATGAGGTTCATGTGCAACTTTTCATTTTTTCTCTGCTTGCTTCTCTTCTGTTGAAGGATTCACGGGTAATTCATAGCAGTTATTTGCGGCATCCCTCGTTGAAAAAGTGTGAACTGCATTTAAAGATTTGAGTTCTTTAATTGATGATTATGTCTCTCTTTTTACAGAATTAATAAATAAATTCAAATCATTTTCACAGCTAATACAACCATGCATTCCCTTAAACTATTGAACCCGTGGGCTGCGGGGATTCATTGATTCCACATTAATCAGAAACATAATCCATGAACATTCAAACAGGGTAAAAAAGCTTTTGGGTCATCATCATCAAGCTTACCTTATTATTTAAACCTATAACCATTTAAAACTATGAATGATTAAGGGATCAATCTACTTAAAAATTGTTTACTTTTACATATATATGGTTGAGGCAATGGATGTAGACAAGTGATGGGCACTCGAACAGGGATACAAAAGCATCGAGTTTGGAAACGTTTTGACATGGGAACAACACTAAAGCTTGAAAATCAATGTTCAATGGATAGAATTATCGTGCTGAGTAAACATAATTAAGGGAAGGCCGGAGGGTATTGGTAATGATGAATTCAGTTTATATATAAGTTGTTTGCAATGCGAAGTGACTTGTTATATTTATATTTTAAAACAGTGCATGTATAATCAACATAATATAAACCGAACCATTGGGGTTGCGAAACTCAACATGCAGAGAAAGAACATCTAGCGTTTGGATGTCTGGGATTAGGAATTAATGGGTTCCCTAGTGATTCTTCATATACAAATTTTTTAAATCAGTTCTACCGACGTAAATGTCAACATAGATGTTGACATAACTAGATGAATTGTAAATAATTATTTATTTTGAAATTATGTGTGAATATTGATAATATAATTATAAAATTAATTATTAATGATGTGATTATTAAGATAAAACAAGTTCACTGTATGTTACCATTGCTCTCTCAATTTGAGGTTTGAATTAAAATAAAATTGAGAACAAATGCAAATAAGTCGGTCTTTTTTTTTTATTTCATAAGCTTTAAGGATTATTTTTTTAAATAAATGAATTAATTAAAAAATAAAGAGATATCATTATACAATAGAAACAAAAAGTTGTTTTGTCGCTAATGACTTCTTAAAGAGAGGACCTAAAGATCCAATCACGAAGATATGCAATCAAACTCAATTTGCAAGCACAGGAAAAAATAAACTAGGAAAGGGCACAAAGGGAAAAAAATCTGTTCCCACGTGTAGAATCCACGTGTCGAAGGTAACTCTTAGTTTTGTCTCTCCTAAGTATCTAACTCTATTACTATTGTTGTTTATCGCAACAAAGGGGGAACAAGAAAGGTTGCTTGCACCAAAAGAAACGCCAATTTGCGAGGGAGGAGTAGTAAACAAAAAAGGAAAAAAACAAACGAGGAGAAAAGCAAAAGCTGATGTCCCCCACTAGCCCTACCGAAATGTTGCTTCAAATCGCCATCATGGGAGACCTTTTTGCTGCTCCGAAGACCGTTTTGTCTCTCAAAAACACCATTGACGTTGAACCTAAAGCCTTCTAACGTTAAAAGAAAGAAAGAAAGAAAGAACGCCCAAACCCTTTTTTCAGAAGCGTCAAATTTCTTATCTCCCTGCCCTCCCACGAAAATCTCCATCGTCCTGTCTCCTCCTCTATGGGGCTCTTTTTCAGTTGTTTTTATCAGTCAAACTTAAGATTTGCTTTTGTTTCTCTACGCTGAAATGTCTCAAAGATAGGCCCCGGAGCTGGGGGTGGGAGCATGATCCCATTTTCGGGCTTTGGCTTTGCCTAAAACTATATTCTTGCTTTGAAACTAATCCATTCGTTTTTACATGCAAGGACAAAAAAAAAAGTCAGGCCGCCTACGGAGTAGTAGGCCAAACATTATGCTCCCTACTGTCCAAAGCGGATCAAGTCTTTTGTCTATAACGACAGTCTTTTTTTGGTAGTTACTAGAATAATGTCTTTTACACATTTTAAAGTGGATTCTATGGGAGTGGCAAGATCTAACTATGAGACCCAAAATTGTGTTAACCGGTATTTTTTTTTTTTTCTTGGCATTGCTTGAACAAAACATGTTGATGTCATTCAATTGCATTTGTTCGTCAACGATTACTTCGATAACCAGTGATGACCATTCGCATCATCTATAGGTCTAGAATAAATAATTGATACTAGTGCTAGTAAAATCATACTGGTAAAAAGAATAATGAAAAGATTACTTGGCGCTCCTGGACTCCTCGTTGTTTAAATAGAGAAAAGGAAACTTTGCCTGAGAAATGAAAGACAAGGCTCTGGCGAACAGCATGTTATTCTTGGAAATAATTGTAGAATGACTCCTTATTCGCTACCAAAAGAATAAATACAACAATAAATTAAAAAGGACTTGCCGTTGCTGTAAAAGAAATACTACTAGTAAATAGCATGCTAATGGCAAAAGATACTGCAGACGAAATAAATATCAGAATCCTAAGTCGGGAACATAAATGAAATGGAAGAGATCAACAGGAAGAATTTGCTGCTGAAGATTTTGGGTCTAGAAAGAACAAGCAATTATGACCTCTTGACCCCTCTTTAAGTTTTTCTTTTAGCCCAACCTCAACCTCGACATAAGTTTGAAAACTCAATTTTTACGGAAAACCTTATTTGAATCCATTTGCCTTCCATCCAATCGCTACACTCCCAAACTAAGAATTCAAATTCACATTTTCTTTATGCAGCTTCATGATTTTGAAACATTTCTACCATTCTCAGCCTGATAATTCATGAATAATTTACAAGCATAACTCCTCCCAACCAGGCAACCCTCCTTTCGACATTCTGAGCCTGACCTGCTCATAGCAACAAGTCCCAAGCCCTTCTAGAGGCAAGGTGACTACTAGCCCTAAGGCAGGTTGTCCAATGCAAAAGCAACTTTGATAGACAGCATGTATGATCTATAATTACAGCACAGGTTCCAGGACAATCAAATGTTTTAATATCATGTTCCAATTCCTAATGCATGTGTGCCTCCAATGCTGGTATCATGGGATGAGAAAATTATGGTATGATTGCTATCAAGAATGATATTGCGACATGAGAAATAGTAATTTACAAATATAAAATGCTAGCCAAAACTCCTAAAGCAATCAAGGAACTGCATCATCAACAAAACCTACCCAAAACTTGGCTAAAGAGATACTATTCAACAATGCATTTCTACATTTGCAGCCTGCCCACATAAATTCAATATTAATTGCATGCATATTGTGACAGGAAGCCCTTCACTTCAGCCGCAACCTCGTAAGCACCTTCCACACATCGTCCTAATGCCACACCAGATACATAGTTGCCCCCAAGAAACAGCCCATGAAACCCAGAATCCCCGAGAGCAGTTTTTGCGGTATGAAGGAGATCCAAATGACCAACCAAGAATTGTGGAATGGCTTGTGGCCATATTCTCACACCCAATACAAGAGGATCCTTTGCATTAGGATTTATAAGCATTTTTCTCAAATCACGATCAACTGCTTCTACAAGTTCACCTTCAGTCTACAGGAATATGCAGTGTCAGTAAGAATTCAAAACTATAATAATATAAAAGGGAAAAAAGCGTCAAAGAATATGATTCTAGATAAAATCCACCTAACTATAAATCTCAAAAGAAAAGGAAGAGTAGATATTGAACAGAATCATGCAAGAATGTAGTTGGCTGCAGACCAAAAACACGCCAATTCATTTGAGCAATGAATTCCGAATCATGGAAAACAGTATTTGTAGGTTCATGTGACAAATCATAGCAGTGATAAAAGTTGAACCTGTCAACAATCTTGACCATCATATATCTAAAGTTTGCTAGGCAAACTCAGTAACTTGGCAGCAATTATAACATGTTCGTAATATCTTCAAGAGGGATTACAACAAATATCATTGTTGTTCCGCATTTAGAGCATGAGAAAATCTCAGATCTACCGTCAAGTGCTTCCTTATCATTAATTTCCTTGTCCACAACATAACATTCAAATTCTGTTTTTCAAAAGATGTCTACCTTGGACAAAATTCCAGGGTTGGTAGCTCCTCCAATGTAATTCAAGAGCAAAACTCTGCCAGCTGGAGCTCGATTGGGAAAAAGTGACGAACTGTATATGGTCCCTGCAAGTTTTTTGTCACTCAATCAAATTTCTCATAGTAACTTTCCTGCAAATAGCATTCAGCATAAGACCAGGATATGATACTTTCAGAAGGAGTACATTTACCTAAAGTTTCAATTCCTTGGCTGCGTGGGTGCAATTGGCCAAATCCCTTAAGTTCACCATCAATCAAGCATTCTTTTCGAATAGCTTCTTCTGGATATGAGATTGTCACTGATGCAACTGGTGGGTAGTAAAACTGGGATAGTGCATCTGCAGCAGCAGCCTGCATAGAGAATGTAGAAATGGATCAAAAAATCATATTAAAATTTTAAACTCAAGTGAACATAACTAAATTAGTAAAGGACTAGAACATGGCATCAATTAGTCTGTTAAATAACTATTTTCTTCAGAATCTACATTATTAGTATACCAGGAAAGTCTTAGAGACCCATAAACAACAAATCACGCATGGAAAATTTCTTAAGAAGCTGGACTGGCATCATGCTCAATAACATCAACAACTCCGTGAGCTAACACACCACATAACAGATGCCCAATTCAGTAGTTCAAACCAGGCCAACAGTGCTCTATTAAATTTGGGAGGAGAAATATACACTCCACCTAGAATTCAAAATTTAAAACAAACACGCATATGCACAAATATGAGCAAATAGATACAGGCATGCAAGCCTACTTTCCTTTTGACCAAAAATTTTGATAATTTCACATCCTAGACAGAACAACATAAAGGAGCGAACCCTCTATGCCAGATATCATAAAAGTATGTCTAGCAAGGAGAAGGGAGAAATGGAAACATACCGAGAGAGGATGCAACAGGTTACTGGCAACATGGGATGGAATGGTCATGACAACACTTCTACTCTGAAGAGAGACCATTCCTTTAGGTGTTTCATATGTCAAGCTATACTCGCCATTACCCAATTTAGTAATACTGGAGAGCTTCCACAATAATTTTACATTGCTACCCAAACTGCCAAGTCAACACAACTAATTAGGATCCTGAAACCTGAAGACCCCTAAAAGCATATTGACACTTTAGAACCACTACAGTGGCTAAATCGTAGCAGTGATGGTGACTGGTCTACCTAGAGGCAATTGCCTCAGGCAGCATGGCAAGTCCCTTCCTAAAAGATCCAACTGTTTGGCCCTTTGGTGTTGGTAGACGCCTGCAAGATAACCATTCAGCATGACGAAAATAAATATCATGAAAGAATCACATCAGAAGCCTCAATATATGCACAATTACGGGTCTCTGGGTGGCTTAGGTGTCTTATTTCTCTCCTGGATTGTCTTGAAAGTACCACCAATGATGCTACCACCACTCTCTTCAAGCTTCCATACTCTTCCAAATGCTGCTTTCATGCTTAATTTTGATGGATCCCCAGCATAAACACCTGCAACAACAACTTTTCAGTTATACAAATTATGAATTGGTTAAAAAACAGAAATTAAGTATCAGTTCTAAGTTTCAAAACTTCAAATCAAAAGATGCTAAGTTGGAAGGAGGTGGTTCATTATTGCACTAGTATATAACTTGTGATAAACTTGTTAGTTGAAAAAAAATAGCCTAAGAGAAACAAAATATTGACCATTAAAATACATCATTGCAGATAAGTGAACACACAATAAGAATGGAATTATCACCAGAAGTACTGTAATAGTATCAGATAAACAGAAACTTCAGGAAATGCAAATATTTTAACTTTCAACTTTTCAAACTATCATCACAGCAATGACAATTATGCTAAGGTAGTTAACACGTAGTAACAACGGCATCATTTACTATCCTTATCTGCATAACTCAAGAAAACAAACCCAACTCCATGTGCAACAAGACCCCATGGAGCTAAACCACGGAGATAAATGATAACAATGTATTGAAATCAGAGAAATTTCCTGACTCTTTTTATATGAAATGCCAAGAAAAGTCAGCAGATATTAAGGACAATTAACATGCCAAAATGACAAGGGGGTTTAGACAGAACAAAATATATTTCTAAATTATTGACATTCTTCACAGATAGAGACTAAATAACAAATCTTTGCACACACATGAAACACGAATCCAAAACAAAAGATTATTAATCATCACCTGAACAAAATGGTTCAATCAAGCGCTCAAAAACCTCAGCACCAAGATTACGACGCACAAACTCCTCCACTGATTCTTCGTGACCCTGTTACCTTTGTCAAATTTTGCTATATGAGAAACTTCAACTGAAAAAATAAAACTTATGCAAATACATGGCACACACTTTTGATATATAACCAAACAAAAGAAAAAGCTTATAAGAAAGTGAAGAGGACAAACTGGAGGAGGCGGCCGAATGCCAATAGCGCCCAATCCAGCCCTAAGTTTTCCACCAATGCTCATCAAATCAAAAACCGGTAAGTCAGTTGGCTTGGAGGGTACAGGCCTTAATTTCCCCTCCCATAGAACAAATCGCGGCGCATTAGAGTCACCTAAAACTAAATCATCCTTCAATCCACTATCCACCTATAACAATCAACAAACATTTATTTGGAAACTAACAAATTACTGAACCTATAATTTATGTGTTAATGAAGTTCAATTAAGCAGCAAGTTAAAAAACTAAATTGCATAACTAATTACAGTAAAATTTACGAATATGAAGTCAGGAACAATGTGGATTAAGACGAACGTACCGCCATGGTGAGAACAGGATCGGACGGCTGGAAACTGTTAGGTCCTTCTTCCCACAGATATCCATCTCTCTCAACGGTTGTGATGTTGCCACCGACTCGGTCTCTGGCTTCCGTCACGATCACATTGGAAGCGACGTCTTGGTGCTTGGTGGCGAGGGCTTGGGCAATGCATAGCCCACTGATGCCGCCTCCTACGATCACACAATCCACAACGGATGATTCTCCACCGTAGATCTTTGATGAGGAAATTGTGGGCCCCTCGGCGATGGAGCAGCGGAGTTTGAAAGATTTGTGAATGCGGTGCGGTATTTGGTGGTTGGGCTTGCAGAAGGGGAAAATGGAGGTTGAGGAGCCGAGAAGAGAGAAGTCAGTTAGCGTTTTCATGGCTGGTGGGACCTATCGAGCGGGAAGCAGAACGGGCTGGAATTAGAATAAGTGGATGTTCATGGCTGCCTGCGAGTTGAAACGACGATTTTGGCCAGATTGTGTTATCTGCAAGAGGAAATATCGAGTGTGGGCACTCACACGTCTGAGTCAGTTTGACTTTCATTTTTTCTATGGGCAATCAGTCAAAATACTCCAGCAACCGCTTGACATGAATTTTTTTTTTTACTTTTAGAGGAAAATTCAAGTGTGACAGCTCACACGTCTGAGTCGGTTTGACCCTTTTTTTTATTTGGGCAATCAGTCAAAATAATTAACGGTTTAATATGATTTTTTTTATTTTGAGAGGAAATAAAGGTAAATAAAGTAAATTTACAAAGATTGGAGGATGATAGAGGAAGGAAAGCTAAGAAAAGAAGGGATTAGAGTGATCGAAGAGTCTTATCTAATGTTTCTTTTACATCTTATTTATAGATAAATTAAAAATAGTAATTATATACAATTATCATTATAATAAACAATATAAATTTTATTTACAGTGATTGTTACAGTGACTTACTATACTGTTTTCGGTGGTAGGTCTTTGTCTTTTATAATAACTTTCTACTACAGTGATTACTACATAATTTTTTGTCGATAATAGTGACTGCTACAGTACTATTGATTTTTTGTTTCGAATAGCTTTATCTTTTGTATCGATAGCTTTGATAAGTAAATTCTTGCTTGAAATATCCACAGGATGGTTTATCCTTCCATATCATTTTTTAGATTATGCAACTCTTCATCTTCTGGGCTAAAAGATTGACGAGAATTAGTTTTGATTTTATTCCACACCTGTCATCCTTCTTTATACTGGTATAGCATTTATATAAGATGATCAATATCTTTCATTTTGGAAAGTCTTTCCAGAAGTTGTATGGCCTCTGGTTCATTTTTTATTTCTAAATCATCATGACAGGAATAATAATATCTTACTATTATCCTTCATCCATCAGTTTTTACAGATATTCTAGGAAACTTTGTAGTAGTAACCAGATGAAACAAGTGTTTCATTTTTTTCATCATAGAGATTCCTGTTTGGAATTGGTATTGGAAAAGTTGGTATATTTGGATATGATTTTGTTTAAATCATTTGAGTGGATTTGAGCATCTGTAAGAGGGTCAAGGAAAGCTACTGCAATTACCCTTTCAAATTTCCATATTTGGTAAGGTTGATAAAATCTTTGTCGTCGAAAGATTCCAATAAGGTTAGTTATGGTGAAATGTTTATAGTATAAGTGTTTAGCATATTTTACGAATTGGTAAAATTGATGTTTGATAAAAGCTAAAAAATTTTTTATAAGTTCAAAAGAAAAGTTTTGAATTATAATTTAGCCAACTTTTCCTAATTCGATATTGGTTATATCAAATGGTTCATGATTAAAGCAATTTTTATTTTTGAAATGGAATTGCCAATTTATGTAATAAAAATATAAGTAGGAAAATAATGTTTTGAAAATTTTTTTCGATCAATAGTTTTTCTGTTGTCTAGGTAATAGAAAATTTTATTTGTTGAAACAGTTCATTGGTTAGGAATACTGTAGCTTTTTCAAACAAAATAATTCTCTTAAGCTTGTTTAGCTTAGGAGAATTATAATTTTTGAAATATTCACATAAATTCAATAAATTGTTTATTTATTGAATACTATACTGATTTTCTTCAAAAGCAAAGAAATCAATATATTGTTATTTTAGCAAATTAGTAGAAAAAAGGCCTTGGAAAGCTGTTTCTTTAAACCTCTGAATTTCATTAGCCCGTTTGCCTAGAAATTCAGCTAGTTTGATCATCCATTTGTTTTCTGAGAGATGAGATTTCTAAACATTGTTTAGTAAATCATAGACTCGTGGTACAAGTCCAGGTTTATAAAAAATTTTTATTTCAGAGGTAAAAACCTTTGTATCTTTCAACGATTTTTTTGTAGAATAAATTATTTCTGAATAGCTCATGAATGTCCATTGATTTGAGTTTTTAGCAACTTGTGAGAAATTTGTTTGAAATCTCAAATGAGATAACATGTATGGGGGTCTAAAATTTTGAGGTTGATAGAAAAATAATCTTTGATTAAGATTATTGTAAAAACTAAATCCAACGTTAAGATTTGTAAATAAGCTACGAGATAGTGGAGAAGCAGAGGTTGAAGAGGAAAAGGAATAATAACATTTTTTAGGTTGCTTATTCTTTATAGTTCTCCATTCTCCATGAATTTCTTGAGGTATTTTACCTCGATCTATTTGATCGGCTAAGAAAATCAACTAAAATATTTTAGTTGATACACTCAATAAAAAAATTGTATTGAAAAAGAAAATTATACCACTTGATTCTTTTGGGTTGTCTGAGAGTTTTCTATTTTTTAGAAAATCTCGGACTACCTGGTTATCTGTTCTTATAACAAATGTCTCAGGAGTTAGATAAATATGAAATCATTGTACACCATTTTTTATGGCTAATAGTTTTTTTTCATAAATAATATAATTAACTTCATTTGGTTTAAATTTACCAAAATTATAACCACAAATCAATTCATCATTTTAATGAATATTTTTTGCTTTAATGACACATCTCCAATGTTCTTCACTGACATCTATCTATAATATCAGTAAATCTCCCTGTTTAGGTAAATAAACTTTAAGTATATAAGTTAGCTCTGATTTGATTTGTTTAATAATATCAGAGTCTACTGTTGTTTAGACAAAATCATTATTTTTGTGTAATTTATGCAAAAAAATGCTTTATTTTTTAAAAATATTTTTGAAAAATTATCTGTCATAATTAACTATACTTAGAAATTGTTGAAGCTGTTTGATACTTTTCAATTCTTCTGAAAACTCTTTGATATTTGAGATAATACGATCCATGAATGCTAGGTTGAAATGTGGGCTGCTAGTTGGTTCTATTAGACCTTTGTCTAATAGTTCTAAAATTTAAATATCAAATTCATATATATCCTGTTTGGTATAGATCATAGGCTTTACTCTTATAATTTTTTTTATATGAATAGTAAGTTCACAGTATCTTAAACTTATTTTCCAAAGCTTCGATGGTTGTTCACTAAAGTTTTCTTGCAAAATTTTATAAAGCCAATGTGTTTCACTGATTGCTTTTATAGTATTTGTTAATCTTTATGGTTAAAAGTTTTTATCACAAATATGCTTATGTTCCTGTAATAAAGGAATTTCAATTGATTTCTTATCAATTGTAAGAGTAACATAAGTATTAGATATAGATAATAGAACATAAGTATGTAAAAAATTATTTCCTAATAGTATGTCTTCATGCATATTAGGAAAACATAATATTTTGGGTATTATAAATCAACATTATTAAAATAAACAAAAATATTTTTTACTTTATAACCAACAATAGATTCCTTACCATTTATACCTACTATAATGATATGATCTTTATTGGTTGCCATTTATTTATGGGTAAACCATGATTGCGACAACTTGAGATTATTGTTCCTGTGTCTAGCAATATATGTAGACTATATGGTTTATAATCCTAAAATCGAAAATCACCTTTCACAAAAGTATAATATCGATATTTATTAGAGAATAATATTGTGTCGGGTACAACTAATATAAAATTATTTATAAAATGTAACATTTTGATTTCTTCATTTCTATGATTTATAGAAAAAAAAAGTGTATGAATTTAAAATAGAATTAACAGAATGATAATAGGATTGATTATCACCTATATTTTACTAAGATGAATTATCTGCTGTAAATATAGAAACTTGAGCATTACCTGTATAGTTTATACTGTTTGCTCGTTGTAGATTTTTTGCACTGTTTGTACTATAAAATCTTAAAAAAAAACTTTTACAAAGAGTATAAAAAGATTGATTACTAGATATACTTTCACTATCATAATATTTTTTATGCTAAAAAACATTAGTAGGGGTAAAACTATATTTAGGTTAAAATTGGTTAAAGAATGAGGATTTTTAAAATAAAGATTTTTCCCAGATGAGAAAAATTCTAAACTTGATACTTCTGTTTTTCAGAGGTATTTTCAAAAATATGATGAGTTTTTTTCATAATATTTTTAAGTTTAACCATACCTTATTTTGTCGTAGTGTTTGTATATGTAGAAAAAGTTATTGAAACATTATATTGGTTAGATTCTGTATTTATTATAAAAATATAGTAAGATTCATCATCAGAATAACTATAATCTGTTTCAGAAAATACTTCATAAAATATCCTTTAGCTCAATTCCTTAACTTTTTAGTTTTTACGTGCGTGGAAGTGCGATGGAATGATTAAAGATGTTGATCATAATTCAACATTTTTCATTACGACGGAGTGAACAACAACTAACAACTTAATTATAACATCAAAGACAATTAGTTGTTCCTTCGTTGACATGATATAGAATCCATTGATTTGAAGGTAAAATATATGTTAACGTATCTAGAAAAAAAAAAAATACATATTATTTAATATAAAATGGATAACAAATATTGGAATTAATTAAAAAAATTATAAATATAATAATGAAAATGAGAATTAATGTAATATTGGTATTATTTTAATGTAAATAAATATGTTAATAATATAAAGTTTAAATTAATTAACCTCCTTAAAGTATTAAAAACTTGAACATATGACTTCAAAATTTAAAAATTTTTTTTTTTATTCTTACACTAAATTAAAATTTCATTGACTGTTGATAACTTTTACTAACAAAATATAAACTATTAAAAATATGTTTTTGTTAAAATATTTCTTAATATCATTGACTGTGTCGTCAAGTACATTTTTATTGTTTAAAATAGTTCACGCATGAAGTGTAATAATCAATTATATTCTTAATTATAGTATTTGTACTAACAAAAAAATTTGCAATGTTCGATGTAGTATAAATATTATTTGTAAAGAAATACGTAAATAACAAAAATATATTTATTAAAAACACTAAGATGAAACATAATAATATAACATCTTAATTTGAATGAAAAAAAATTGAAATTTAATTAAAATGACATTACTCTCATTTTTTTAAAGAAGGATTCTTCTAAAATTTTAATTTGAATATTTAATGCTTAATTTTATTTTACAAAAAATGATTTTTGAAAATAATTTCATATTTTTAGGTGTTTTTTTAATGAAAAACTAATTGATCAATAAAAAACGAAATCATTTTTAAAAAAATTATCTTACGAATTTAAAAAAAATTATTAAAAAAAAAACTGTTTACAAGCATAACTATATCTTAATACTTTTGAACATAATTTTACTTATAAATAATATTATTTATATTAATAAATGATATTATACAAATAAATAATATACTATTAATATAATATATTAATAAATAATATTATATTATTAATAATAGTATAATAATATTATTAATTTAATTAATAAATATTATAATAGTATTATTAATAAATAACATACTATTAATATAACATATTAATAAATAATATAAAGAATAATAAATAGTTTTATTTTAAGTATTTTTTATATTAACATAATATTTTAATATTAAATATTATAATTAAAACATAATTATTTTTAATATTAATAATTTTAATAGTAAATAATTTCAATATATTTTAATAATAAATATATTTTAATATTTTAATAATTATAGTAATATTATCTGAAAAATAGATTTAAAAAAAATAAACAATTAAAAATATTTTTCATTAATGCATTCAAATAATAAAAAATCTCATTCAATTCAAAAAATATAAACATTTTCATAAATCATTTTTTGAAAATCATTTTCTGTGAAACAAACGAAATTTAATATTTGTAATTTTTTATTATATATTCTTTTATGCTTTGACTTTCATTATATAAAAAATTTTAATTTTTTATTTTTAAAAATAATGGAAATAAGTATAAAATATGTAAAATATATTTTTTATTTGCTAGATGGATGAATTTAATTTGCTACTTATGTCCCCTTAAGTTAACACTTGCTCAGCATAGCCTTTTAAAACCACTATTACAAATTTACAGCATATAATTAACTTGCTACTCATCATTTTGACAACTCATTTTGATGACTTCAGAATCGAAGTCGTGAATTTCTCGTCGTACATGGATGAAATGATGATAAATTTTTTATATAAAAGGGAGTTCTGATTATATACAAATAAATATATATAAGTTTAAAACATCGCATGTATAAAATTTTGAATTAATTTTTTATATTTAATTTATCAAAAATTATATTGTAACTACAAAATAATATTCTATAAATATTTTTTATGAAAAATTATAATTTTCTTTGCACCAAAATAAATTAGGATAAATTGAAATTTTATTACGATAAAATAAGAGATTTTCACCAGGGCAGGAAATTTTGATGGGTGGGCCGCCGCGTCGCCTCGCACCCTTGGCTGGCTATCGCATCTCGAACTTAATAATATTAAGAAAACGCTTATAGGGGCAATCTAGACAATTCAGTGAATTCAGATGTGTGCGCAATGCGCATGCCGAACACAATAATCCCTTTAGAACGTTGCAATATCGCATTTCCAATTTCAAGACGGTCAGAACAAATTTCCTTCTCCCGCCTCTTTTCCCCATTAGCTAGAATTACTCGAAAATGCACCACCCTCCCTTTTCTCCTCTACGATTACGGCTCTACTAGTCTATTTTTCTCTTCACTTCACCTTACTTGTTCCAATTTTTATCTGTCAAAATCCCAAAGAAAAATCGAAAACCCATCGCTTTTTAATTATCGGGGAGAAAAGTGACCCGTAAGCAATTAAATTTATCTCAATTCAATTAATTTCACATCGGATATCTTTTTAAAATGTTATTTCATGTTTTCTTAGATTAAGTATAAATTCATTATGGTGGCGCTCTCTGATTTTTTTGTTTCGAATTTCAGGTTGTCGTAGATTTTGCTTCCTACTTTGATCTTAGAGGTTTCGGTAATTGCTCGGGATTTGAATTTATGCTATTGATTTTTTAAAAATTTTTATTGTTCATGATTTTTTTTCCTTGTGATTGAGATAAATTAGGGTTTAATAATATTCGATCTGAGTTTTCTTGTTATCTTACTTCTTAGAAGCATAGGATAATTGATTTTTTTGGCTGCATATATAATATTTTTTGATAAGTTCCTTGAGATCTGATGGTTTGGTTTTTTGCCTTTGCTTTACATTTTGTTTGGTTGGTGAGAAAATAACAAAATCAGAGGAGAAAAAACAGTTAAAACCTGGCATCTCATGAGAAAATGGAGATCTCCTAAGATTATCTGAAAATTCCAATAAAGCAGAGTTGAACCTTGAATTTGCTTTTCGAGTTTTCTCAGTAACCAAACAGAGTTAGAGATGTACCTTTTTTCTATTTGTTTTCTCTTCTAAACTTCAATTGCTCAATCTGCATGTTGCTTCTAACAGCGGTTTTGATTTTGTGCATTTCAAGATAAAATTGTGATAATGGAAGTAGACGTGAGGCAAAGTTTACGAGAAGTAAGTAGGAAAAAGTAGCAGTTTCTTAAGCTTCATTTTCCTTTCATTGAACCATCTTGCCTCTTTCTTGCTTCAAGAGTTTGTACTCAATAACTTACAGATCTGCAATTTTTGTTGCTAGCAGTGCCTGCTTATTATAAAGTTCTACTGGACTAAAATATTAGTTTTACAATATATGGCATATTCTATTAATTCATATATGGTGGAGGCATGGAGCATAATAGTTCTTAAATAGTTTTCTAGTTCTAGTTGATTTATGTGCGTTGTTTTTCCTATGAGTAGATTCTTTTCCAGTTCTTGCAATTTGTAGGTCTTGTTTTCCTGGAACGTGTAAGTCAGTTTTGGACACATTTGAATACGAATTTAGCTTAATTCTCATTGGTTTATATAGCAAATTAATACCAGTGAACTGATATTGCTGTTACTGCATTATGATTCCGGTAACTTATTACAATTCCAATAACTATTGCAATAAATTAGTGTTTGATGCCTTGCAAATTTATATTTCAGGATCGAATGAGTGACTGTCGAAGTTTTGGCTGCAATTATCATCCATCCAGCCAATCGAGAAAGATTTCAATAGGAGTTACGGTAGACTCTTTAGCTAAGGGAAAACCTGGAGCCACCAAGGAAGATGAAGGTAAACAGCCAAACACAGAAAGAATTGAACCTAGCATTGGAATTTCCACAGAGGGAAAAAACAAAGGGGAAGCTGTCACAACCTCAAAGGGGAAGCAAACTGAAGATACTGAGCAGGTTAAATCTCCATGGATTACTCCTAGATCCTTACATAAAAAATCTCTTGCTGCAGAGACTGCCTCTTTCCCAGAAGAAACTAGCAACCCTAGACAGAAGAAAATTAATGCAGTGAAGGATGTGCCAGTAACATATTCAATTCAGTTTTTTCCAAACCAAACCTTAAACGCACAGAATGTTGGTAGCGAGTGGCATAAGGTTGATAGCCTCATTAATGGCCTCACCTACCAAAGGAAAGGAATGAAGGATGGCAACTCACAGAGGCTGGAGGAGTTCAATTTTGCAAATGCACGGAAAGTTCTTGAGTTGGATAAAGTGGTGATAGAGGACAAAGCAGATAAAACACAAAACATACAAACTGAAACTTTGAAAATGAAGCTGTGGGAGTTGTTGGGAACTGTTTCTTCACCAAAAAGTCTGCAATCTAGTTCATGGTCTCATAAGGTCAGTGCCAATAATTTAAAACCAGAGATAAGCGCTGATCATATGGGAGACACAGTTGTAAAGCCCAGACAAAATTCAGATACTATAGAAACTGATTCAGACAATCCTGATAAGACCATTAAGAGGCCAGTAACCCATTCTTTGACCCGAAAACGAGCTCCAGCCAAAGTGCAACCAGACAAGACTAGAGTTGGTTTATCCTCCAAGCAGAAACATCAACAAAGCATCTTCTCTTTTGGAGAAGGAAAATCTACAAAGCTAGATGGTGCTGTCAATTGTGAGTCATCATTGTCCAGGAAAAAGAAAATTTTGAGGAAAAGTTCTAAAATTGGTCCACGTAAGCTCTGTTTTCCTAGAGAGGATAATGGAGATGAGGTTAAGCAAACAACCTATAGGAGTGAAACTCCATTGCCTGGAGAGAAAACTTCTATACTTGGTAATAAGATTGAAAGCCTTCCTGGTTCCTTTAGTGAGAAAAGGAGAGAAAACTCCGAAAAGGTTCAAGAAAAGGACTCTTTTCATTCTCCAGTGACCAACAAGACAAACCAGCAGGTTAATTTTGACAATCCAACATCACCAGAAAAAGGGGATAAACAAGAAGATTTAGGTAATATATCTTTGAGGAATTTTTTGTATACACAAGATGATTTCCAAAGTCCAACTTTTGGATTCAACACACCTATTTTAAATACATCTCCGATCCCTACACCAAAAACTGTAGAGATGGAGAAAGGTGCTTGCAATCCTGTACTATCTGAGAGAGGATTTACCATAGGAAATATCCGGAGCTTCAGGACTTTCCAAACTTCAAGAACTGTTTGTAATGATTCCAATGCGCAAGCTCAGTCACCTGTATCCTTAACTATTCTTCAGGATTGTAATATGGGAGTGGAATATATGTCTAAACTTGAGCATTATCTTTTCTGCCTTTGACCTTCCTTATTGAGTTTCAGGAAGATGCAGAGAAGCATACTGTTTCTTCACTCAGGAATGCCATGCCAGCTAAGGAAAATTTTGACCCAGTAAATGAACTTTCTGAAGCATCACCAGAAGAGAGGCGGTCAGAGAGCTTTGAAGAAGGATCACCCATTATTAAAAGATATGATTGTAAGTATCAAAAATGCTTTTCTGAAACATGCTATGCAATATGCTTCCAAAAATTTATTGGATAACTCCATTTGGGATATAACTTACCATTAGTTATTTCCAAGTAATCAGTTGATTGGATGATAAGAGTTCATGTGTCCTGATTCACATTCTTACAAGACATTCTACCTGATTTGTTATCAATGACTGTATGTTTCTGTAATGAATTGACGGGAGTAGATGTTATGAAGAAGATCGAAAATGTATGTTTCAAAAGTAGAATGACTGAAAAGTTGCAGTTTTAATTTTGGTCTCCCTTCTTGTTCTTGATATTGCACCCTCTGCTTATGGCTTTATGTTTTGTTTTCTCTTTAGTAAACTGTTTAAAGCGAAAATCATAACACCACTCCACCCTTGTAACTGCTGTTAGTTCTTTTAATATCATGCCATGAAACTATTAGCCTTCTTTATTGATTGTGAAATTCATGGTAACTTATCACTTTGGAGAAGAATTCTTGGTAATTTGTCATATCAGGCCGTTGCTCCAAGATTGGTTAATCTACTTGATTGTGTTTCTCAATTTTCATAGCTTAATTGACTTCACAAGCTTTAACCAGTCTGTACTGTGAATACTGTATGCATTGGCATGGATTCTTCTTAATTTCATCTCCATTTCTGATTTATTCTTCTAAATTTTCCTTCTTAATGGAAGCTTCTTTGGTTCTTTATATGATGGTGTTGTCAAGGTCACAGAGATGATCTGCTCTCACCAGAGACTGTTATTTCTGAGAAACCAAATTTCGTGCATTGTCCAATCAAACGGCTTCAAAACCTTGAAGATTTCAGGCTTAGTGAATTCAGTCCCACCTCACCCTCTCAAGAAGGCACAACTTCTTCACATTTGAACATCTACTGCTCTAGTTATCCTCACATCAGTTTCTTTCTAAAGTAGTTTCTTTATTTTTGTTCCAAAGGGGCAGGGATTGGAAAAAGTTATTGGTTCCAGGAACCCTCAGAACAGGACCAAGAAGATGAATTGACCAGGTCCTCATTTATATCTAAGCAAAGATTGGAAATACCCACTGATGCTATCTCTGGAACACCAACTTTATTCTTGATTGAGTTGAGTTTTGCTTGGCAATGTTTCAGGGCTGTTACACTGTTTGCTTTGGCTCTAGAAACCTTTAAACGCAAAATGGATTCAGCTACTAGAAAGAAGTCCTCTGAGATTTTAATGTCCATTTCTGAGGAGATTAAGTCAATGCTGCTGAACGTTGAGTTTCAGATTGAATCTGATGTGTATGTATTTAAAACTGAAAGCTTTCCTAATCCAACATGCTGATACTTAGCTTTGGTTTTCTTTATCTTTCAGAGGGAAGCTGACTAGTCTCAGTAAAACCAAAAGGAAACACCTGGAAACAAGATTGCAAGGTGACAGTTTTTATTAACTGAATGACTTGATTGGCTTCAATAAAATGCCATCAGCTCCTAATTGTATTGAAAAGTGCTTATTTGTATATGAATTAGAGTATTACTTTTATTTTACTGATCCGGTCTCTCAGATTACGAGCCCCAAAAAGTGCCTATCAATTTGTAGTTGTAGTTCACTGGTCTGGAATGATGAGTTACATTTGGCCTTGGTGTTTGTATGTCCACTTTGGTAGCATATATATGTGTCTAGGGACTAAGCATCACATGTGAGGTTTTGTCTCAGAGGATGCTATTTACATTTAGTTTTGATACATTACCCATCTTACTCATGCTTTTAATGAGAGCACACATGCTTCTAACAAAAAGCACGATTGGGATCCTATCTTCTGAGAAAAACATGATTACTGATATGTGGTGGGAAGCAAGCCATGCTAGTGTGTGAATGCAAACATAGTTTCACCTTTTCTTTTCTTACAAATTTGCAGTGTTATTATTACTAAACTTGAGAGAGGAGTGCCATTGGTCTTATGGTTTCTCTGTATTTAATTATTTATCTTAGTAAATTAACTATCAGGGAGGCCTTACTTGATATGTTTTCTATTTGATTGCTTTTTTCCCACAGAGCAACAAGAACAATTGAAGCTGATGCTTGAAAAGTTCAAGGAGGATATCCATCATCATCTCCTGGACTGCAATAGTATCCTTGAAGGGATGGAAGCTCACCAAATTGAGTTAAAGGGAATCATGAAGAGACAAAGTATGGCAACTTTATTTATTTTGAATAAATTCATTGACTATGACTGCATTATTGCATCTTGTTTTCGTAGATTTTTCATGTAGCTTAATCAAATGTGAGGAGTGTGTAAAAATATGTGACCCATTTGCTCCATTATGAGATGCATGCTGTCCTTGTCACTGACATGTGAAGATGAAGCTAATTTGCATGCAAGTTTTCATTGGTGGACATGGAATAATTTTATGTGGAATATTTCTTGGAACGTCGGGATTCATTGGGATATTGATGCAGTCCATGATTTTTCATGCAAGGATATTTCAGTTTGGAGAAATTACTTTGGTCATAGAGGTTCTTGGGAAAGTTTTCATTGGTGGACATGGAATAATTTTATGTGGAATATTTCTTGGAACGTCAGGATTCATTGGGATATTGAAGCAGTCCATGATTTTTCATGCAAGGCTATTTCAGTTTGGAGAAATTACTTTTGTCATAGAGGTTCATCTAGGATATTGTGATGTATCCCAATTACAAACAATGGACCAAAGGAAATTTTATACTTGATTTGAGAAATACAATGGTGTTCTAGGTCCCTTTTCAGCACTTGAACTTCTAAAACTTGGCATTACTGGTTGCATTCAGGAATATAGTATTTACAACCTTCACTTATCACCCCCTATATTCTCATATTTTAAAATTATTTATCCCTGGCTGAACATTTTAAAACTGGTTACACTGCAGCTTAAAACGATTAACTTGAATTCAGATCAAGCAGCAAAGTGACAATTAATTCTTTTTAAAATTAGAATACAATGTATAGTCATAGAATTATTTTTGACATTCTTATAAGCTTGTATGTAGCCGGTGTTATATTTAATTTATATTCTGGTGTGTTCTGTGTCTAATATATTTACAGAAGTGTCACACCAGAAGCTTCTCATGCATGCGGAAGAAGCAGCTGAAATCCAACTTAATAATGCTGAAAGAAGAATCACAGCTGTCCATGAGGCAAGTTCGTTGTTTCTGTTTATAATAAAAGTTTAGCCTAACTTTTCAACAATTCAGGCACGGTGTAATCCACATATTATGTGGGCATCCACTGGCCAAATGCTTGGTTCTGGTAATATATCCATACAGTTACCAAAACTTGGTGAGTAGGTTAGATACATTAATTGGGAGCCACTAGACGTTAGATTTGTGTGGGCTTGGAAATCTAGTGCTGTTGGTGTGCATCACGTTTTTATGGAATTCGCTCACTAAGTACTGATTAAAAGAGAAGCCTATGATAATTGATAAGTTTATCTTTTTGCACCTCCAATCTTGCAAAGCTTGAACCTATGAACCTCGTAGTCAGGCCAGGATCCTTCTATTGCTATCCACTTTATGTCGAGTCCTCACACTTAAGATAGTCTTCGTAGACCATGCCTTTTAGCACTCAAATTCTTCATTATAATTCAGAGCTGAATGTTTTGTGTCCTGTATAACATGCATGTTATCATCCTAATTTAATGCAGTCGGCGAGCGAAAAGATGCTCCACCTGAAACATGTAATAGCTGAGTGCTTGAAAGACAGTATATACTAAACTGACAGAGGCCTGAAGATCGACTTTCATTCATCCTAAGAAGTTAGAAATTGACTTTGTAAATTCTGTATGTCCTAACATTTCCCTAATACCTTATTCTACTTAGCCCTTGATTCTATATTTTTCAATTGTCCAGTGGAACCTTATCTGTAATAGTGGAGACATCACTTTTTCTTTGAGTAGCCTGTAACTTGAGTTCTTGATGCGATGGTGCGATTGGTTTTACGTATAAAATGAAAGAATCTCGGACTATATTGAATTAGATTTATGGCAAGCAATGATGAGATTTTTTTTTTCCCGAGTATATATTTTTAAATGATTTTGTTGCAGATTTACTTTATATTTGCACTAACTCTTTGTTGGCTTTATATGTGAACCGAGATGGAGCCACTTGTACATTCTGAAGATTTGGTCGGTTTTCTTCTACATTACCGTAAAATGAAGGAAAAGTATAGCACTGTTTTCTTTTGGGTACTGGATGAAATGGATATGAATGTTCCGATTACGTAGTTTCTCATTGCATATTTGCAACCATATGCGGGAGCGTTAAGCTCAACAATTTGGTATTGTATTTATGGTGTTCGATTATTAAAATTAAAATAATGTGTCTTTCTGTCCAGGGGTTGATGTTGTTACGTCATGTTCCACGCAAGTTTCTATCCACCACAATCACAGTGAGGTTGTCTTGCAATTTTCTTTTTTCCCCTTATTGTGGTCTTTTTTATCAGCATAGAACCAAAGAAAAAAAAAAAACATTACGGTTTCTTTGTTAGGTTGTTAAAAGAGAGCCGCGGTAGAATTTCTGGGGTTTCTCAGGCAGCTAGAAAACGAAAGACTGAAAATTTCGTTCATGTTCTACTTGGGTTTAGTTTCTACGTCTGACATCATTTAATGTTCGTTGAATTTGGGGCTTTCATTATCCTCATCACCCTGGGTCCCTCCCTTCTTAGCACTGTCGTTGTCTGTCTGTTTTTCTTTATGGATGGATTGACCACAGCTTTCTTTTGTCCACCCTTTGTTAATTCGTTCCGGCCCGGGTGAGTGAAATTTCAACCGAAAAAAAAAAACACATTACAGCGACAAGGAAACATAGGGGCATGTGAACCATAGGTGATCACGTCAAGTACACGCTTTTTTTCTCCAATCTTTCTTCCTTAATGCGTGGATTTGATTGGATGTTTCTGACTGACTGATCAATTGGGTTACGTGTCGCCACTGGGTGGTGGCTCTACTACACTTCGGACTGTGGCTAGTCCTGGTCCTGATCCCCCAGTTCTCGTGAGAGTCCTAGATACCTTCGTGGGCTCGTACAAAATTCTGGCCATTTCTTTGTCATGCGTTGAACTTTCATTTTCAAAATTCAATTTCAAGATAATGAAGATAATAAAAATGATCGTCACTGTCCTCTCGTTGGCATGCTTTTCCTCGTGCTTGTTGTCAATTACCATCTACTTATGGTATGGGTTTCAATTAATCAACTACTATAATTAATGTATCAATGCAAATTATTGGGATATCTTATTTGCCGGCGGGTCAGTGTTCTATATTAATTTTACAAGGAATTCGACTCATCCTATTCCTAGTGCTTGATTTGATGCTCATTTTTTGAGCATTTTTAAGTTCGTTGATTTCTAGAATTTCGAGTGCCATATGCGGAGTTTCCCTGTTGGTTGGGTAGTATCGGGGAATCTTATCTATGTTCTGGTCTTTTTTTTTTCTTATCCTTTATCGTTATCATCACTGTTCTTCTTTTGGAAAGAAAAATAAGTGATTCTTAGCGGTGAAAATAGATTACACAGGACTAATACAAATTCAGACTAACATTATTTTGTAGGCAGAATTTCAGTGTTGTGTATTACTGATGTAGGTTAGGTAAAGATTAGAGTCAACAATAATTTAATCGATCGAAATCAATCAAAATATATTAATTTTATTCAATTTATTCGGTATTAATTTGTCGGCAGAATCTCAGTGTTGTGTATTACTGATGTAGGTTAGGTAACGATTCGAGTTAACACTAATGGGTTGTAACTTATAACTGATTTAATCAATTGAAATAAATCAAGATATATTAATTTGATTCAATTTATTCGGTTTTGATAATAAAAAATATTTATTTAATTAGTTTGATCGGTTATTCATTTTCAAAATTAATGATTGAATGTAACATCCTAATACTGATCGATCTTATTAATTTATTTTTAAATACATATTTATATATAATATTTTAAAATCATATATAATTTATTATTGATTTTATATAATATATAACATATGTAAGTCATGTTTGGTATATAAGATTATGATAGAATAGAACAAAATAATATTTATGATATGATTAGATTAAATAATGTCATTCTATCTTATGTTTGATGTGTGTAAAAATTAAGATAAAATAATTTATTTATTGATCAAAATTATTTTTTCTCAAAGTTTATATAATTTAAATTATTGATATAAATTTTAATGTTATAAAAAGACATATAAATTTAATCTTATAAATTAAAAATAATCTTTTACTTTTCCAAAGAATAGAGTTATCCTATATGGTATAAGATATATAATCCTTTTAATAATTCAATCATTTTATTTAAATACATAATAAACATGTGATATGATGATTAGTATCCTATCATTCAATTAATCTTACGTGTTAAATGTATAGATAAATCATATTTGATACATATAATTATTGATAAAATAAAATAATAATTATTTTATAATATATCTAATTTGCATATAAAGAAAGTTAAATATCAAATCCCCTAGAGATTTAGAGATTTGGCATTTCATTCTTCATCTTTTTTTCCCGTCTTATTATCAATAGGCTTGGTGGTTTCAACTTTTCGTGTTCCTTAATTATGCGCTTTTCTAAATACAAAACGAGGGAGGCTGCTATAACTAACAATTACTGCATCTTTGCGGGAGCCCTATTTCAATCATTTTTCGAGCCAGTGGACGAAATTGGAGATCCACACGCTTCTCCATGTATTGGCTTGTTTCTGCCTTCCATCGGTTACAGTCATGGAATGAGATGCATCAAGGAGGAGAACCCTTTATCAGCAAATTAAGAGTAGTAAGTTGTGACTGATTAAGCTAGATATTCTTCTGAAAAGCCAGGGTGATTCAAGGACAAGTGACCCCTTTTCTCAATCAAGATGGTGAAAAAGCCAGAATAAGTATTTTCCGAATGAAACGCAGAATATTCACTTCACTAGTGGTTCGCAGCATGTTGATGTTTTTTCATATAATTACATTACCAAAGGAATATTCAAATTTCATTTTGCAGCTGCTTAGGCTTTTTCTTTCCAACATTGAGCTCTTCTCGCTGAATACAAAGTACACATAGTGATGATCAACTTGAATTTGTAGTCAGACGACGAGTTTGGTTAAAATTCTTGATTTTGGGTTAAAACCCTCCTCATTGCAGTTATGTATATATAGCCTCTCATGTAACAAAATAAATTTATAAAAGGAAAAAAGGCATAATGTTGGTAAACATTTAAATCTAACAAAACAAGATTGCTTTAAGTTTCTATTTGGAACAAGAAATATTTAATCTGTAATCTCTAGTGCACAGGAATCTTAGCAGCAGCAGCAACCGAGCTAAAAGCAAACTGAACCAAACTCACCACTTTTCAATTTAATTAATCCTTTAGAAATCATTCTCAGATGTGAATTGTTCACCTCTTTTTTAACCTTTTGAATCATTGTCCACCCTGAGTCTGGTGGAGGTTGATACTTCCAAGGTGATCTGTTTTACTTCTGCCAATTGATTATTAAAAGTCTCAGCCAACATCAAAATTCATCAGATCATTAACTTCATACAGAAGCTCATCAGATGAGAAACTTGGATCAGGCATATATCCTTCATTCCTCATCACCAAAAATAGATTTTCCAGAATGTCTTGAATCTTACCTAATTTGGATTGTGTAGCATAGAACATATAAATACCAGAACCTACCTCAATCCAGCTATTTCCAGGTCTCCTAGGCAGACGCTTCTCTTTTACCATTGTTCTGACTTTCACTGCATCTTTCCATCTTCCTGTGGAAGCATATATATTGGATAACAGAATATAATGGCCTGAATTTTTCTGATCTTTCTGTAGAATGTGCTTCTCTAAATACTCAGCCAGCACAACCTTGTTATGAACTCTGCAGGCACCAAGTAAACTTCCCAAAATATTCATGTCTGGTTCCACTGGCATTTTTTTTATAAGATCATATGCATCATCAAGGTGGCCTGCTCTAGCAAGAAGGTCCACAATGCACGAGTAGTGTTCCATGTCTAGTGGAATATTGTAATCATATATCATAGAATGAAACAATGACCAGCCTCTATCAACTAGCCCAGCATGACTGCAAGCTGTCAAAAGTGCGATAAATGTGACTTTATTGGGTCTAATTCTTGCCTCCTTCATTTGCTCAAAGAATTGAAGAACATGTTCTCCAAGTCCATAAATCCCATGAGCAGAGATGATTGTGTTATATGTCACAATATTCCTTTCCTTCATCCGATTGAAAATACTTACTCCAAGTTCAAGACTCCCACATTTGCAGTACATATCTATTAGAGAATTTCCAACAGAGACTGCAGTTCCAAGACCGCTTCTGATTGCATAGGCATGGATTTCTTTTCCATATTTAAGAGTTCCAATTTTTGTGCAAATTGGAAGAATAATGACCAGGGTTATGGAATTTGGTCTGAGATTGGAATCCCATATTCTCTGAAAAATCTGAAATGCAGTATTAACCTCACCATTCAAAGAATATCCTACAATTATTGAATTCCATAATGTGATGTCCCTATCTGACATTATCCTAAAAATGTGCTCAGCTTTTGTCATTGACTTACAATTGGCATACATTTCAATCAGTGCAGCTCCCACAACAAAATCAGATTCAAACCCTTGTTTTAGGATATAACCATGCATCTCCTTTCCGTGCTTCAATAATTTGAGCTTGGACAATACTGGAAGAACACTTGCTGCAACAATGGCATTCATTCTTATTTCAGCATCCTTCATCATGAGATACAGCTGAAAACCCTCATGGTACTGGCAATTCTGTGAATAACCAGCAATCAAGGTACTCCAAGAGACTACATCTTTATTCTCCATGTTACAAAATAAAGAATAGGCAAAATGACAGGCACCGCATTTACAGTACATATCCATCAGAGCATTAGACACATACAAATCACTCTCGAAACCGCACTTGATAGCACATCCTTGAAGGGTCATTCCCATTTTCATATCTTCCAGTCGGCCACAAGCTGGAAGAATGGCCGCCATAATAACTGAATCAGGTCTTAGCCCTTCTAATCCCATCCTTTTAAACAGAGACAATGCCTCGGACCACTCTCCACTCTGCATATTCCCACAGATCAGGGCACTCCAGCAAGCTAAATCTTTCTTTCTTATTCCTTCAAAAATCCGTCGGGCTTCACTTAGATTACCACACTTGGCAAACATGTCTATCATGGCACATTCAACATAAACATTGCATTTGATATCATAATGACCCTCATTCCAAAGAATAAAATCTCTAATCTTCTTACCTTCTTCAAGATCATTCAACTCAGTACAAGCCCTCAAGACAAGTGGGTAAGTGAAATTGTCAGGAATCATCCCTTGACTAACCATCAACTGATAGAACTCAATTGCCTTGGAAAAACGACCCACATCAATAAAACCTCTAATGATTCCATTCCAAGCAAGATTACTCCTTTGGGGCAGTTTATCAAACACAAAAAGTGCATCTTGTAAACAGCCAAAGGTTACATAAACATTAACAAGCTGTGAACCAAGGACCCTATCAGCATTGCTGGAGTTAAGGAATCCATTGACAATCAAAAGAGCGTGTAATCTTTTGGCTTCAGACAGATTTGATGGTGACCTAAGTTGAGAGAATAGGGAGCTATGCAAAAGATTTTGATGATTGAATAACTGTGGCAAAGAAGAGATATTTGTGAGATGAAAGGTGGTTTTGGATGGAGCAGTGGATTTATGAGGTGGGTATTTGGTTGGATTTGGGTTAGGGAAGAGAGTCGAAATTGGTTTGCCGATAACGAGGGATAGTCCACTTTGTACATGAAGTGTTTGTTTCAAAGCCCTAGTGGATTTTCTGGTTATTCTCGGCAACATTTTTTTCCAATTCTAAGGCGTCATGCCGGAGATCTAACATTGTTTTAGATTCCGTTATGTACCAAAATTCGAGCATGCATTTGTTTTAGAATCTTCAGAGGAAGACACGCCGGGTTGAGACTTGAGAGCAAACAGTAAATCTGTCCGTGAGTTAGGGCTAAGCACTATCGATCATTCGAAAGTTGAGCTCAAGATCCGGCCTAACTTGGCTCATCGGATTAAAAAAACCCAAAATTTTTAAAAATATATTAAAATTTTATTTTTCAAAATTAAAATTAAATAAAAATTATTAATAAAATAAAATTTCAGATGGAGTCAAACTGACCCAACTTGAATAGGTTTGAACAAGATCAAACTCACGGGTCCAACGAATAATCCGATCCGAGGACAAATGTAGCAAAGAGTGGAGACTCTTATATATTATCGTTAATGAAGTGAGACGAAACTGATGAGGTGACTTATAACAAAACTGCTACAGAGGACTTTTGCTTTAGAATTCTAATAATCCTGGTTTGCTCTTACGAAGAAAGTAAGTATAAAATACAGATATCTGTAATCTCAATCTTATTATTAATTGTGACGATGGTTAACATGTCAAAACCAAAGTTTTCATTGGAATTGCATGCTGAAAATGAAATAATGACTTCAACGTGGATGCTGGTGTTGAGTGATCATCTCAAGTCCATTTTAAGGGATCGGATAAGCATTTTGGAAACTGATGAGGTGACTTACAACAAAACTGCTACAGAGGACCTTTGCTTTAGAATTCTAATAATCCTTGGGCCTGTTTTGCTTTTACGAAGAAAGTATAAAATACAGATATCTATCATCTCAATCTTATATTAATTGTGACGATGGTTACATGTCAAAACCAAAGTTTTCATTGGGATTGCATGCTGATAATGAAATAATGACTTTAACGTGGGTGCTGGTGTTAAGTGATAATCTCTAGTCCATTTTAAGGGATCGGATAAGCATTTTGGATCACCCAAAAATTATAATAATTTCTAGAAACGAAAAAAAAAAATCAAACATCAGCAAAAATATCTTAATTACCAACGGCTGCAGGAACAGCTTGAAGAACAATGGGGCCAAACTAAAACGATCGAATATGGCCATGGATGTCTAACAATTTAACTTGATAGGTATTTCATGGAACAAGTAGAAATCTGTCATCAAAACTAGTCAGCATCAAGATATCAGTAGCCTTACTCTAGCCAAGCCCAAGTCGCAATATTATCCCTGGCCCACATATAAGAAAGCTCCATTTTCTTGCCTCAGCAATGATCTCATTCTCCTCCACGAGGCATCCATGCATGAAAATGAAAGGACTAATTTCTTCAAGAAACATATCGACGCTTCCAAGCCACCACTTCTTTTATAATATTTATATATATATAGACACACACACACACACACACAACGAACCGCAAAACACTAGACAACCTTTGCTCCGCCCCCAAATTTAATTAAGCAGAGGAAAGTGTCAGGATGGATTCTGTTATTTGCTTGGTCTTGAAAATTGCTTTGGCGGTTGTTCTAGTGTCCAAGATTTTGCAAGTGTTTAGGATTGTTGTGTGGAGGCCACATGCCTTGACGAAAAGCTTCAAGAAACAAGGAGTCACAGGCCCTCCATACTTTCTCCTTAAGGGTTCTCTTGATGAGGTGAAGAAGTGGAAGAAAGCAGCCAGGGAAATCATATTGGACACAAACTCAAATGATATTTTTAAGCGTGTTATCCCACACTACTATATATGGTCCTTAAAATATGGTCAGTTTCTTCCTTACAGATTACTATATAGTACTAGAAATTTAATTGTATTGCTTCATTTTTAGTACTCATGAGTCGATGTACAAGTTCTTAATAGTACTCCAATTCGGATTAACCTTTGCACGGTATTTTCATGTCACAGGAGAGACATTTCTGTTTTGGCATGGAACACAACCCCATCTTTGCATTTCAGACCCCGAGCTGGCCAAGCAAATACTATCAAACAAATTTGGTTTCTATAATAAACCGTGCGTGAATCCTTTTCTACAGACATTAGCAGGAAAGGGATTACTTTTTATGAATGGACTAGACTGGGTTAGGCGCAGAAGAATTGTTAATCCTGCCTTCTCTTTGGATAAGTTGAAGGTTTCAAACTTCCTAATAAATAATTCTATTCGTCTTGTTACTTGAACAAAGATTTCTTCATCGTTTTGTTGATTTCTTGGGAAATTTATGTGCATGTCCATATCCACTGTTTTAATTAAGGGGGCACATGGATCTTAATTGCAGGCTATGGTAAAGAGAATGGTGGCATGTTCACTATCCATGTTTGAAGAGTGGAAACATCAAGCTGAGTTAGCTGAGAACAACTGTATAAAGATAGAGATCAATGAGGAATTTCAAAAGCTAACAGCTGATATAATTGCACACACTGCTTTTGGAAGCAGCTATGTCCATGGAAAGGAGGCTTTCAAGGCTCAAAGAGAGCTTCAAAGATGGTGTGCAGCTTCAAATGCCGATGTTTTCATCCCTGGCAGCCAGTAACAATTATACTCTTACACCTTAATTTCTTCAAGTTTTGAGATTTGTCTTCAACTCTTTTTTTTTTTTTTTTCCTGTTTTCATTCAGATATCTCCCCACTCCATCCAACCTTCAAATATGGAAGCTTGACAGGAAAGTAAAGGGTTCACTAAGCCGCATCATAGAGAGTAGATTGAAATCCAAAATCACCGGTGGTGCAGATTTTCCTTACGGGGATGATCTACTCGGTGTGATGATGGCAGCTATAGAACCTACTCAATCTAATCGAAATTTCAAGTTGCAAATCGATGAAATCTTGGAGGAATGTAAAACTTTCTTTTTCGCAGGGCACGAGACAACTTCCAATTTATTAACTTGGACAATGCTCTTGTTGAGCATACATCCAGAATGGCAGTCAAAACTCAAAGAAGAGGTCTTAGAGGAATGTGGGATGGGCATTCCAGATGCTGATATATTGGCTAAGCTGAAATTGGTAACATTTCAAGAACATTCCTTTCCTCCTCTTAAAACATTTTCTAAATTTTCATTAAGAGGTGAAATTTCTAGCGCTCTTACCAGATGAACATGGTTCTACTGGAGATCTTGAGACTGTATTGCCCAGCCATAGCGTTGGTCAGAGAGGCATCCGAGGACATGAAGTTGGGGAACCTGATGATCCCGAAACATACACGTCTAACAATTCCAATCGTGAAGATTCATCGAAGCAAAGAATATTGGGGAGAAGATGCAAATGAGTTCAATCCATTGAGATTCAAGGGTGGGATCTCCAAAGCCGCAAAACACCCAAATGCATTAATGGGCTTTTCAGTTGGTCCAAGGACTTGCATTGGGCAGAATTTCGCAATGCTGGAAGCCAAAGCTGTGCTTGCACTGATTCTTCAGAGGTTTTCATTCTCTCTCTCCCCTGACTACAAACATGCCCCAACAGACGTCCTTACTTTACAGCCAGAACATGGTCTCCCTATTATTATAAAACCTCTTAACATGTGAAATACTAGCAAAACTTGCTTACAAATTATTGGACTTTTTTCTCTGCTTCTAGTTTAAGGTTGTGCGATTGTGTTTTTTATAGATAGTATTGCAGCCTCATAGTCATTGGACTTGGAGCCTATTTGGCTTCGTGATTGAATTGTCTTTGATCGCAATCATCAAATTTGATTGTACATTCAATGACAAGCAAAATATAAAATCCCTATTAATATCTAGTTTACAGTGATTTTTCTCAATTTTAAAAGTAAGTAGGGGTTTACAATTGCGATCGCAATGCCAAACTCAAGTATGGCCTACTCCGACTTCTCAATTCCCAATTAACATGGTCCCACCCGAATGCTCACATGCCCCTCTAATATAATTATTCACCAATTTTCTTATCAAATATTTTATTAACCAATGGAAATTGAAGCAAGATATTAGTATACAAATCATAGCATTCAAAATAACAATCATTAGACATTTATTAACAAGCGCATATTCTGAAAGAAGTTGAGACACAGAATCCTAATTTTGTGCTGAGGCAACAAACTTAAACATGTACAAACTAACGCCACTAACGTCTTCTATGTCATGCCTATTGTACACTTTGCTATTCCATTGTATATCATCAGTTTCCAAGGATTCCCAGAACTGGGTTTTTCCTATCAAATAATGAGATATCCCTAAACTGAGTTGTAATATATAAGAACAAAAAAAAAAAAGAGGAAAGGAATCAGAAATCCAACCCTTCACTGCCTGGGAGATGTCTTGGGATCATGATCAAGGAAAAATATGGTCTCAATCTCTTTCCCGTTCACAGTCTTCTTGGGCTCATTTTTATCCGCTGAGAAAGAACCCTTACGTTTCCTTGGGGCTGGAGGACATGTCAAGGCTTCAGGAATCTTATGCTCTTTAGCAGTCGGGGTCCTACACGTTTCATTGTCAGCAACTGGATCACCTGGCTCGTTGTTGCACTCTCTATCTTCTACATTAACGGTTAGCCTTGCCATTTTATCAGAAAGAAGTTGTTGCGCGTCTTTGCAAATGGGTAGCATGTTTTTCTGGATTTGTCACAACGAAGACAAAGATGTGATTGGAAAAAGGGTGGGCTTGGAAAGAGAAACAAGGGGAATTTTAGGGCATAACAAGTACAAAACAAAGCAGAGTGGGGTCGGTAGTGTAGTTGAGTTTGACTTCTTTTCCGTTTGCATTCAATTTACAAGCCGGCGGACGTTTTATGCCCATTTTGCGTTTGCATTTTTCATCTTTTAATTTGGGATTAGTATAATTTTTTTTCAACATTAATTAAGTGTGGAGTTAAACTGATGTAAATAAACTACATATCCATTTTATGGTATTGAATAGATATTGGAAAGGCCGAGAGTTTGTATGGAATTTGTGAAACTTGCGAATATTTTGATTAGAATGATTTAAAAATTAAATTTTAATATTTTTTAAAAAGTCAGAACCAATAAGACAGATAGTAAATTAATTGTGAACATAAAAGTTCAACTAATTATAAAATATAAAATATTTTACTTAGAATGTGTTTAATTGAAATTATACAAAATATTTTTTATTTATTATGTATTTAACTATTTTATTTTTTATTGATTAATCTTTAAATCAGTTGATATGTCATTAGAATTAACGTTTGAAGGTTATAGATTTAAAATGTTTATACACATAATATTTTTTTCAATTAAATAAATAAGAAGGTAGGAGAATTTAAAAGTAGATTTAAAGCTTTAAAAAAAATTCCCTTTTAAAATTTACATAATTATGTGATTATGTGTTTATAATTTTCAATTAATTTTTAAATCTAATAAACACATTCATCACATTGGTTTTTGTTTTTGTTTAATCACTTATAATTCTAATAAAAAATTTCATAAATTCTACGTAAATCTTACTTGAAAAGGAAAATCTAATTTGGAGACAGCTAAAGAATTAAAGAAATCCTTTAACAATAAAATGTAAAAGGACCCATAATTACACGTCCCCTTTTCTCCAAATCAAATTGTAAACGTGGAATTCAAATTTCCATCCCAATGATCAGTTCTGTATGTGGAATCATAAGATTTTGGAGAATTACAATTTCTGATACCACTTAGCTCTGCTCTTCAACGAAATTCAATAATGTCCGATTTGCGTTCACCGTGACAAATGAAACATGCCTCGAGGCCCGGAAATTCTGGTGTACTTTGTTGTCTTGCCTGGGACAAATAGAGTATTCTGTTATGTGGTCGACAGGCTCGGCCAATGAGGGTTCTTAGCCCACCCAGTGGCTGAAAAGTATTCTGTTATCTCAAGTTGCTTTAAACCGAGTTATGAAAGGTGTCCCCGTTACTCATCCTCCTATTATAGCTGCTATAATCCATGATTGCAGGTGGTTACTGCAACAGCTCCTAAGCACCATGCGCAACACAATTGCTGAGAAGAAGCCTGCGCCAGGAGCAGATAACTTAATTAAAAGGCTTGATCAAAATCATTGAGTTTCTAATTTACGATGAACCTCCTAATACCAATAGCGTAAGCTTTCAATTTTGCTTGCTGACTTGGTAAGTCTGTCACCCCAGGACGGACGTGTTTGTAAACCCAGTCCCACGTTCATTCTAATTGTTTTTGTTTCCTTTAAAAAGAAAATTTGAACAAGAATTTCAAAAGCTCCCTCAACCTTCCTGGTATCTCAGGGTTTGCTTTTGCAGATAGCTCATTAATCATTAGCATGATGTCGGCCATATATATGATTTAAGGCGAAGTTCATGGTATTGACAGAAGGAATGTATATATATGTTTATTAGAATAAAATGTGTAATCCTAGTTTAGCTTCAACTGAAAGTTCCTTTTCTGCCAAGACAAAATACTTGATCGTCTTTCAGTTGGTTTTGGGGATCTGTCTACTCTCTTTTTTGGTCTTTTCCTCCTTCACATGCGGTTTCTCACTTTCTTGCCTTTCCCGTCTTTTCAGCACTAAGTTGCCAAGGGCCAGTTGAGTGGTGACCACATTGTGTTAAGGCGGTTAGTGGTGCTATCTACGTCTGATGACGACTTTCCCAATTTTGTGACGAGCAAATAGATTACAATTGGATAACAAGACTAATCTGATACTTCGTTATGCCGGGCTATATATGTTTCTTGTAATTGGTTGAAACTTTGTAACATCAAGGAAGGTACTAAATTTTGAGAAACCAATAAAGATGGGATAAAGATGAGGTGAAATGATTCCTATAGACTAGGAATGACAACCATGGAAATCAGAAAAGATCAGCCAATTCAATTCCTAGAACACTACTTGAAGGGAAAATGTTCAAAACATGGTTTTTTTTTTTTTTTCCCCTCTAGTACTTGAGACATCAGGACATTAGATGACTAAATTGTAAACCAGCTCCTTCTTACGTGCCATGCTAGCGTTCTGTAAGGTGAAGGCTTTGAATTCTTGATCTTTTAGCTTGGTTGCCAGGCCTAGATTGTGCAATATAGAGCAGAGTCGTGTTGCTACTGATTCATTGAAATGTTCCTGACTTAGTGAGAGAAATCGGACAGATTAGACGCTACAGCCTCTACAATTCTGTAGGATTTAGCCCAGATCAGTCAGCCCATTTAGAAACAGAGTGGATTCATGTTTGCTTTCATTTTAACGTGCACAAAAAAAGTTTTGATAATTTTTTTTCAAAAGAAAACCAAAGAAGAAAGAGGATTCACCAAAAATTGGACGCCCCAACTATTACTTTTACCAACCTTTTTCCTTTCTTTCTATTAGTTTAATTCAGAGTGTTTCAGGACAGGATCATCATCATCAAAAACACCGAAGTGAATCTAGTTTACCAGTTGACATGCTGCTCTTTTATCCTTGTTTCTTTTTAAGCTTTTATGCTTCTGACCTTTCGAATCTATAGCTATCCATAGGGACATCAATATGAGGTAAGCAGATTGTATTTAATTAATTATATAATCTTAACGACACTATAAGAGCATGCAGCAGAATTTCTATTTGCAGGTTTGTCTCTGTCTCCATGATGCGACCTTGCAAAAAAATTGATGCTTTCCTGTAGCCAGTAGCGACCATTTGTTAAGGATTTTTTGCTTCAGCCAACGACTTTTGAAAACTCTCCTCATCAAATGGCTCATGTTCGATTGAGTGTCACTGATCAGGATGTGCCTTTGGTACCTCTTTTCTGAACTGGAAAGGGAAAAAAAGTTATCAATCAAACCTCGTCCCTTTCACTCCCACTCTCCAATTTATCTTCAAACCTGCCCTTTCTTAATTATTGCTTTCAACAATGATGAAGGATATTCCAGACCCTGGAGAAGAAACCACTTGCATACTTCTTAGCTTCCAAAAAGAAAAATTTGTGAATGATAATATATAATATGATTGCTAATAGCTGTATGAGCTGTTTAACATTGAATTTTTAATTTTAATAATCAAAATTTAAATTGTGATAATTTAAATTAAAAAAATAATATTATAATATTATTGTTTCTAAGGGTAAATAATGACCAATTCAGAAAAATCGGGGTCCAATGATGTAATATCTGATGAAAGTTGACTATCATTTTCCACTGTAAGCAAAAGGGGAAGGTGTAATTATACAAAGTAAAGGGGAGACAAAACAAGCATTTAGCTTGACAAAGCTCGATAAGGCTTTAATCAACTTGTCTAAGCTTTTTGATAATTGATGGGGGTTTAATAATATGTCCCCCTTGTAATGCTTTCTTCATTCTCATTAAAATTAAATTGCCTATCATACTTTTGGTCTCTCTAATCAGTTAAAACCATATATGTATACATATATGATAGATTACAATTAAAAGCTGAAGCCCTTTTTTTATCTGCCAAAAGCACTACTTTTTGACATTTTACTTTGGGGTTAAATACAGTTTTCAGTTGTGACTAACTGAAAAAAGATTCAGGGCTTCTCTGTTTCACTAATTATGATGGTAGAGTTCACCTTAATGAACAAGGCCTGCATTTTTTTTTTTTAATATTTTAACAAAAAGCAAAGCTGATGAAATCAGCCATGTTTTTACATTCAATCAATTTCTTCTAATCAACTTCTACTAGAAAAAGCCTTGTTGGTCTTGAAATACAATCTTATGCCTCATTGGTGCATTAAGTATCAGACCCTATGCACCAAAAATTTTCTTTATAATTTGATTTAAAACGATAACGATAAGGTCAATTGCTACAGTTTAAGTTCAAATCAGTCTTAGTTGAGTGTTCAATAGAGA